TAATAGAAATCCTGGTGCATTTAGCCCGCCATATAAATCGATTAATAGCTCCATTAAGATGTTTAACATCCAACTGTTCCAAAAGCAACGGAATAATCTGTAATGGATACAGCAGTCTAGCAAAACTAGTCATTTTTAAGAGATGTATTCTCCCAAAGAACGATAGGGGAAGCTCCCTCCAGGTTTCCAGTTCTCTCTCAATTTTAGCAATAAGGGGAGGGAAGTTAAGAGAGAGTGTATAAAGATGACGTCATACCGATTTTAATTCCCAGGTAAGTGATGTCCAGCCGTGCCAACGTCAGGGAGGTGCTCTGGTCCCATGCTGCAGTCGAGATACCAGTAAGGGGTAGAATCTCGCTTTTAGAGTAGTTAATGCGAAAATCCAGAGAAAGTACCAAAATTATCTAAAATGGCCTGGAGGTTTGGGATATCCTCTGTGGGGTGGGAGGTAAACAACATAATGTCATCCGCAAAAAGCGAGATCCTCAGCTCCTCCCTCCCCACCGGGATACCCCTGACAGCCGCGGTCTGTAAGTTGTGTCTCATCAATGGCTCCAGTGCTAAGTTGAAAAGTAGGGGGGACAGTGGACAACCTTGTCTAATACCTTTGTGTAAAGATATAGGAGGGCATAAGGCACCCTCCTTACCCTCCATATTCTAGCAGTGGGGGAGGCCTTCCCTGAAGTCCAAATGCGGACATCACTTTGAATAACCATTCCAGATTCACATTATCAAATGCCTTTTCAGCATCTAAGGTTACCATAGCATATTTGCTTTGTCTAACGTGACTGCACTTGGGCCTGGTGATAGGCCATTTAGTTACCCAACAGCAAATTGTGGGAGGAGATCTTCCTGAGGCTCTGGAAGATGAAAAGTGTAGCATAGATCTAATGGAAGTAAGAACAAGCAAGATAGATATACCTGCTATCCAGCAAACCTTGCTATAATGTGAGAATTACAGATTCACATTAAACAGAAAATGAAAGGCTACTTCCAATTACTTTTAATTGCATTCCCAACATCCCAAATGCATACTAACAGGGGTTGAAGTTTCTAAATATGATTTTCTTAGAGATCCTTAAGTTCTTAAACAAATAAAACCAGGAACAATGTGATGGTATAATAACCAAAAACAAAAAACAAAGCGAATACTGTATTTTAAAAGCTTATTCAACTCTTAATGAGTACAGGCAATTCAAATGTAGTACGGAAACTGAGATGAACTGCAATTTACAAGCTCTAAACAACAGTGACAAAGACAAATTGAGCCTTCTCAAGTGAGCAGTAAACATGTCTATTTGTAAAATAAGTGAGTCTCAACTTACTAGCACTTACTAGAAATGCAGCCATATTTATAACTTTTTTGTTCCAGTCTAGAGCAGAAAAGCCAATTAACTGTAAATCCTATGCTACCTGAAATCATCTAAACATCTGAGACCAGTAAAGAAAATAATTAGATATTGCTAGGGATATTATAAGATCTCAAGCTTTCACCAAGTAGCTCTTGTCCGCTAGGAATGGTTCAATCAATCCCCAATAAATAAGCACATAACTTTACAAACATTATACTCTGGAAATATAGGATTTCACAGCACTTAGTTGCAAAGTTCAAACAAAGTTCAACATGCATACATAGATTAACTGGTAAGTATTTAAGGAGGTTTCTGTTGTGGTGTCCCTGTTTGAAATTTTGTAAAAGGGACAGGAAGCGATGGGCAATTTATCAGCAGGGACAACACTGGCAAGAAAACCGTAACAGATTAAGAAGAAAAAAAAAAAGTTCTATTTTAAAAACACCATAGCCCTATGAGATACTGTATGCAGATGAATTAAGAACACTTAGAAATAAAACCACACATTTTATATATAGTTTTGGCTATACATACACTTGAAAAGGAAAACAAAAATGTGTTTTATTTAAATGTACTTAAGGTGTTTAATTCAAGCCTGAACAGATGGAGAAGGAAGCCTAATGACATTAAATATCCTAAAATGCAGCTAGACAGCCAAGGACACTTATGACCACAAAGTGTTGGGGAACCAATTTGTTTACATCCATCTTGAAAGCTTTTTTTTTTTCCACAATCCATCACATTCTGGCCATTATGAGACCACCATTGTACTGTGTATTGTTTTATCACTAAACTTTCAAGAGAAGCACCACTTTACAAAAATAACACTGAAAAAAATGTAATTTAAAATTACCTTCCCTGCAGTGGCTGCAGTTTTCTAAAAAAGTAAGGCAATATGGCGACCTGGAGGCATTCTGTAAACAGTTAGAATACCAAAGTGCCCCAGAAATGTAACTTCCTGCTTCTGTGCATGGCTGACTGATTTTTCCACAAATCTACACCAGGGGCGGACTGGGCCAGGGTGGCAATTGCCCCCCGGGCCTCTCTGATGCCACCACGAACGGCCCCTTGACCCCCCCCCC